ATGTCAGAAATATGTCTCACCTGCCTTTAATATAAAGGCTAACTCACCCCAAATTAGTGCTTCACCCTACGCATTTTCTGACATATTGTGGCTAAATCAAACACACATATATGGATTTCAAAAATTAAAATGAAAACTATTACAATTTTTATTTGATTGGTTAGAAAATAATGCATGGAGTTATCAAATGTGCTAACTCTAAAGTTTTTTTTATTGGTATGTTTAAAAATGAGATAAGTAATACAGGGAGTGTAGCCCAGCGGCACAGTGCCTGTCTGGCAAGCATGAGGTCCTGAGTTCGATTCCCAGTACCAAAAACAAAGCGGAAAGCAGTCTAAAAATGAGATGTTACAGCCAAATACCTGAAGATGAATGGAGATCTTTTTGTTAGCAATTTAAACATTCATTTTAGAAAAAAATATTTCTGATCTCTAGTATAAAGATTTTTACATTAAAATTTTGTGACTTTGGACAAATGTTTTCCCAAATTGAGACAATATTTTTAGTTCTTAAAATTATAACTTAAACATATGGATAGTCTTTAATGCTGCAGCTTTTATGGTTTTCATGATCAAATCTGAAAATGCCTAAATCTTATTTCTTTGGGAATCCCATATGGAGATATTTATTTCCAAGGGAAATTCTGAAAAACTCTTCTTTTGCAACTTACATAATTCTGGAATATAGATTGATGACAGCAACTCATCTCTGCTGGGTGAGTTGTTATGTAATTCCCAGCACCAAAAAAGCAACATCAGAAGATCAGTGACTATTTATTTACACATTTGTTATCATTTGTGCTGGGGAAGAAAGAATGAGGCTGATCTGAGAGCTCGGCTGCAGGAAGCCCATCACTCTCTCCACACTTCTGCTGTCATCCCCATTGTAGGCAGAACATTATTCAAGCCGCAGGCTCCAAACTCCCAGGTAACTGAAGCCAGCGGGAAGCTCTGTGTGACATCAAGTATGTTCTTTATCAACCTTTTTGTTGTGATGGGAAGAAGTGAACCAACTTGACTTTTATCTTACCCCGTTTTAACATTACCCAGTAGGTGCAGGCTTTATTGGTGTGCCTTGGTGAAACTCTGATACATCCTGACTTTGTGGTCATAAATTTTCCATGATAAGAAAAATAATGATTCTTCATCTATCCTCACCAATCACCCAGTCTTAAATGTGTTTTTATTAAAGGTGTATTTAAAATACTGCTTGTAAGAGTCACCACATGGAAAACATGACTTGATTTTCCTTACTGGGCTCTGGAAAGTCGGAAGCCCGGAAGCCGATCTGGCATCAAACAGAGAATCAAACTTCACAATGCAGTGCTGAACCGGAGTCTGTCTCACAGAGCTACTCAGCATTCAGTCCCAGCGCTCTTTTGTATTAGAAAGACTCAGGCAAGATAAGAACATGCAGCATCTTTATTTTTGTTCCTCCACAAGTAGTTGGTTTTCACTGAGCGTAGTGGTGTGTGTATTGTGGAGTTCATTAACAAGCGTACTTCTAGGACTCGGTTTACCTTTTGACACAGGATTAAACAGTATATTAAGCCTGTTTTTTTGTTTTATAAAGTATTCCTGTGACATCTTATTTGGGTTCCATGTCTGTTTTCCAGGGAAGAAGCTAATCTGAGCACAATACAGAAGATTAACGTGAAGCACATGTTTAGAACAATCGTAAACTTGAATTGTGACTTCGTTGCCTTGTTTTGTGTGCTGAATGGTCGGTTTTGGATGCTTTATTCTAAATCCATGAATGCAAAAATCTAAAGCAAAGAATTCACACTTAGCTAGCTGAAGGGAGAAAAACATCATTCACAACTTTATTAAGGCATTTTAATCCAATGCTACCTTTTGTAGTACCTTCTGTGATTTAAAATTTACAAATACTTTGCATATCAATTATTTCAAGGAAATCTTCATTCTAGTATTTAGAGATATGCTATGCTAAACATTTAATTTGCTCACCTCAGATTACCAATGTAATCATCTCATAATTGGGAATTAACGTACTAGGAAACTTCTACCTAGTATTACTGCAAGCATATTTGAAGTTGATTATTGGAAAGGAACTAATACAATGAATTGAATTTTTCATTTAAAATTTATTGACATTTTCAGCTGCTAGCTTTTTGTTGTAAGGGGCTGTTGTGTGCAGTGAGAGATATTTAGTAGCACCCTTGTGTTCTACTCACTATGAACGTGGTTTCTCCTATTCTAACAATCAAAAACATCTCCAAACATTGCCTCCTGACACAGAGATTATCTTAAAGCAATACTCTAAGTATCTCATTGCTTTTCTTTCCATATCTCCACTCAGAACTTTGCCATTTTGCATATCTTTCAAACTCAAACATAGGCTATATGGTCACAGCTACATGTTACCATTAATTTTCAATTTCACTGCCTCCTCAAATCTAACATACTTCCTCATAAATATGTGTATGTTTCAGCTAAATTTTTACCTTATGGTGATGTTCTGGGCAGAGGAGCAAGGGATGGATGAGGCAAGATAAATACCTGGGGCTGGAGAATCCAATAGACCAGTGTCTGCATTCTGGTTCCTCTCTCTGAGCCTAAATTAGTTCATTCTTAAAAAAATAATCACACCCGCTTCATGTGTCATATGAAGGGACGGAGCAGAAAGATGTGCTACAAAAAAGTGTCTACTTTCCTTCTTTCATCATCTTTAAAAGTTTATTTGATCAGTGTTTTGTGTTGATCTATGAGTCTTCAAATATGAAAACTCAAACATGCAAGAAAGAGTCTTTTTTTGTGCTTTGGTGGGATGAAGCATGGATAGCCACACAGACACATGATTGGGCAGTGTAGACAGTCATGGATATGTGATTGGCTGGTTTAATGGCTACAGATGCAGGAAAAAACCCTGCAAGGTCCATCTTCTGAGTCTCCTCAGCACCTCTCTCTGTAGCCTTTCCTTGCTATCCTGGGTAGGAACAGGACCCTTCCGGAGTAAGGGGCTTCAAGAGACAAAAGAGAAGGGAGAAAATGACCTTTCTAGGTCCATGGCTGGCTTTAGCAAAATGGGCTGTAGTTTCTATGAGCTGCCTTGGGAAAGAGAAATTCTCATGTTTGTGACTTGCTTTGGGAGGACAGTGAAGGGCCTGAGACAGGAGAGAAGAAGGTCAGAGAGATGTTGCTTCTTAAAGCCTTTCAGTGTCCTCTGGTTGAAGCATGCAGCATGTCAATGCATCATGCTTTGGGGTATTGCATTCTGGGCCCTGAAATGTAGACTTGCAAAGGGACCTGAAAGGAAAGGAAACCTTTGCAGGCCATTTTCTTCATGGCAGATGTTGATAAGTGCGGACCTTGGTTACCCACCTACATTCTCATTTTCCGTATGAAAAAACCATTGCTCTGAGTCACTGTGTCCAAGGCTTGGACGTAAACGAGTCATCTGTGCTCTTAAGGAACCAAAAGCACTTTCATGGTATCTAGGTCATGCTAATTCCTCAAATATTATCTATCTGTTTGTCTTCAGAAAGGCCAATGTGTATACTGTTAAAAATTTACTCCTTCAAAAGGGAAGTTTTTAAGTCTGCCTGTGATAATCTAAAATACTCCTATAGATTTAGAATAATCTTCATAGTCCAGTTCCTTCTTGGTAGGATTCATATCGATATTAAATCCACTCACTCGGAGATTTACTCCGAAAGGGATTAGCTAAGCATGCCTGCTAAAATGTGCTTATTTCTGTATTCCCTGGTTACTTTCTAATTTTAAACCCTGGACACTTGTACATTTTTTTCTGTGGGTCCCTGGCACAATCCTATAGTACCTTGAGCTGTTAAAAATGGACTTTTGCCATAAAGTTGGCTGTAAAGGAAATAAGTAAGGGTAAGAACTAGAGTGATGCTGGGAGCAGTGGTGCATACTTACAATCTCACCGCAGGGCTTCCTGGGGACTGTGCATGCAGCTCTTGCACCAGTGAAACCCCCTGACAGCAGCCAGTTTGAACAGGACACCTAGGACTGCATGGTAGACCTCTAATGCCGGGTCCCTGTGCACCAGACTAGGTAGAAGGCCTCTGGCTGCTAACACATTTCTGCTGTGAGCCCAGACCTCCTCAGAGGGAGCAGATGAGGGCTCCAGACTGTGATGTACAAGACTATCTGGTAGTTTTCACACTTGAAAGAGGAAGCAAGAACTTCTAACAATGATTTCTAGAGGTTTTTTTTTTTCCTTTTTTCATAGTATTAGCAATAAACATGATAGTAACTTTTAGAAATATTTGATGTTTTCATCTTAAGTTGCTATCTGTAATTAATCCAGTTTTTCAGATATTGTTTCTGTGGGACATGATTTGTAGTCATACAAATCATGGAGAATGAAAGGCCAAACCACAAAAGGGTGAAAATCGCCAATAGATGGAACCACGTTGGATCAGGAATTGTGAAATGATTTTCTAATAATAGACTCAAACTGTTCATAGATGGAAATTTTTAATACATGCAAAATAATTATATTGTCATTTATGTCAGTAACTGGGGAAACCCAAATCAAATAAAGATGGAGGACACATCAATCAAGAAAGAAAAATCTATGAAAAATTGAGAGTAGGTTGTTACAAAAACTCACTTCTGGGTAATATGAAGAAGCCAAATAAAATCCAGGCTCACCTTGCCAGAAATAGCATTTCAAATTTTTATAGAACATCACTTCCTAAATGTAAATTACGCTTTCCTGTGTGTATATGCTTATTTTTCTATGGATGCTAATATTCATTGTCTGCTTCTGTCATTTATATTTAGATTTTAGCGATGGTGACTATAGTCACCAAATTTCAAAAGTTCTGAAAGAAATGCCTTCATTTCAAAGGCAACCTATTTGATAAATGCTATTTTCTGGTGAGGTATAAAAGATGTTTCTTTCCAATAAAGTATAACTCATCTGATTTGTTAGCAGGTGCTTGGAAATCAACCACAAAGCCAAGCAGGTCAGTGTTTATAATCTTCTTATCTCACATCTGTGATTCTGAAGCCACTTGTGTTCACACATAAAGGGAGGCAACAAATTTCTGCTCACAAAGGTAGCCACAGACTAAGGACAGAAGTAAGTGCAAACGTTTTGTTTTTTATCTTCATTCTAACATAAGCTCAACTTATCAGGGGACGATGAGAAGCTGCCGGGGAAAAATGCCCCGAATGTCCTGCGGTGATGGTCAGCAGCTCTCTGAGAGCTGATTACCAGCTTGACCGGACAGCCCTGGGCATCCACGGTGAGTAGCGCTGGCCGCAGCTCTCAGGCAAGAGAAGTGGTTTCTTCCAAAAGCAAACAACCTTCGACCCACGGTCTTTATCTGGGCCCATCAGGTCAACCGTTGTTTTACAGAACATCAGCAATTGTCTTTCTCCTTGTGTCAGAAGCCTCTTGAAACATTATACGAGGATAATTAAGTGGTGAATAAGGGTCAATGTGGACAAATAAATCAAACTGATAGTTTGAACACAGACTGATTGAGCAAAAACAAGGAATTCTGCCATGCCTGTTACTGCAGCGCTTGATGTTAACTGACTTTGTTAACATTACATCCAAAGGCAGCAAGTGGGAACGCTTTGTGTGGGATCAAAAGCTGAGCAAAGAGACATGGGATTTAATTGTTCAGCTTTATTTTTGAAATAAAGACACACAGTGCCTCCATTTAGTTGACTTTAATGGAGCACAAAACTAAACCCATTCTTTAGCATGCTAATTGACTTAGAAGATGCTTTCCTCTTGTATAATAGAGATACAAGAAATATCAGTGGAATCATCAGACTTTTACACAAGTTCAGAGTTAAAAATAGGAAAGGAAGTTAAGTCCCTGTTTCTGATGAGACAAGTATTCTGGTAAATACATCACAAAACTATGTTGTAATCTTACATACATATTTTAAATCATGTATCACAAACCTAGTGATGACATTTATGTAACAAGAAACTGTTGAAATAAAAACTATTAGCTGTTAGAGGGTATTTTGTTGGGTAAAAAAAGTAACCTTGAGCTCCTAAACTGAAGAGAGAATGGAAAAAGAGAACCCTTTTAAAGAATGCTGGTGTCTATAGATTGGTTTTAAGGCAAAATTTTATTTCTTGCTTGGTAAAATTTTTTGTTAGAAGAGAAATACAAATAATAAATATTTTGGTAAAGAATAAAGAATCTTTTTTACTACAAATATACATTTTGGCTATTTTATTTGGGTATTGGAATTCACATTTTCCTGGCAGTCAAAATTTCACTTGACTAAGCACCTCTAACTTGCAGAAATAAATATATGTTTAAATTCTTAATTTATGTTATGTTAATACGGTTGTTCCTTTATGGCCTTGCACTGATGTACCATGGCATTTGTGTTAGTATGAAACACTGAATTTAATAATCTGTCCCAGATTTTTCACACATGAATAGTATCAGTCCTTTAAATAGTGATATTTAATAGTCTCACATGTAAAGTAAAAGATACTAAGTTTAAAGCATAAAGTATTAAAAATATTCCACATTTGAATTACTGTATCAGCCAGTCATCAAACAATGGATTTTAATCATACAAACCAGCATTTTACAACTGTATTCCATAAAAAACAGCCTAAAAAGAGAAATAAGAAATTAACTATTTTTACCTGTCTGTGTGTTTTACATTCAAATGGCCAGAAGAAGTTTGCAATATGGCAAGTTTTGATTGCAAACAGTAATTTATGACTTTAAAGGCATCAAAATGACGGTTTGAAAACATTAATTACACATCTATTCCCATATCTGGGCATCTGTTTTCGTTTTTTAAAAAAAAATTTAAATACAGGCATAAATCCCAGTATGCTTGGATTAATGAAGATAACAGTGTCTGTTATTAATGTTTGAACCTTGTTAATATAAAATAACTACGAGGAATAAATTACATGGGGGGAGGCGACTCCTGGCTCTTTTCTTCCCCCATAAATAATTTCACATAAAGAATCTAAGAGAAGCTCCTGTCTGCGCCGCCTACTCTGAGAAAGTGGGCTGGGAAAGGTGTAAGGGATTGTGCAGCGAGATGAAGGCGAGCTCACACCATATCCAATCAGCCTTTTTCTGAAAGGTCAGGACATTCTGTCTGGGTCCGTTTGTGTTTGTGATTCTGCCGTTTCCCTATTCAGCCACACAATGTAACTGTCAGTCTCAACAAGAGTTCCTGGGCCCACTGGCTCCACAGCTCTCGGGGTAACATACAATATTTCACAGCCACAAAACAATCCAGCGTCTGCGTGGGCGAACCATATGATGACCACGGGGAGCAATATGGTCACACCCTACTGAGCACTCCTAAGGGCTCTGTAAAGACTCCATCGCAAAAGGGCCGAGGCTTTGCTTTTCTGCGCTGTCGCCTACTTGCCAAATAGCATTTTAATGTTGCAGTTTTTATCAGCAGAAGTCAAATGCAAATGTTCCTCCCTCTGCTCCGAGTTGGTAGAGAAAGACAGCTTTACTGCTATGCAAAGCATTTGGAAGCATGGAATTAGGAGGATGATGGATATTAGAAATAATTTAGCACATTAATGATGGCCTTGTTGGATTTCCCCTGTGTGTGTTTTGCTGTATTATTTATTTCTCTTCCCAAACAAAACCAGACACCGGCTCAGATTTACAAGGGCAAAGGATGGGTTCTGACAGTCGAGGGGGACCAGAGAACCAATACCCTAACATAATTTTTAACCAACGGGGCTCTGAACTGAGCTCTGGAGGATTAATGCATACGGTGTGGTTTCAAAGGATTTGGCCTGGATGCAACTGTCGGAGCAGCTGATTGATTTAAGTTACAGTCCAGTCTGCCACTTCACTCAGAGGAAAACTGGATAGACCATTTACACAAAATGAGACCAAAGAAAGGAATAACAAAGAAAAGAAAAAATTACTTCTGTAGGCGTGGAAGCCAGTTCCCATCCATCTAATATTTATTCTTATTACTATATTTCCACCTCTCTTTCTTTACCCAGTTTTCATCGTGAATTTATTCTTTGAAGGTTTAAAAATCCTTTCTAACAGTGAATGTGTTGTAATGTATTTTCAAGTAATATATACATCCTCAGCATTTCACGCATTCCACTGAAGATTTCATGTTAATAACACTAAAATCACCAGATACATAATATATTGTTTAGTGATTATTCTAATCATGCTAAATTTGAATCATGCTTAAAAACTTTATTTCAAGGGAGATTGTCACTCAGTGGTAAAATGCTTTCTGGCAAGCACAAGGCCCCAGATTTATCAATTGAGTGTAAGACACCAATAGACAGACAGACAGACAGACTTATTTATGTGAATGATACTTAGTGTAATGTGCCTATTTGTGTGAAAACATGAAGATTACAGGAATTTCTGCCCAGCCGATTTCATCTGTGGCAGCATGAGGGATGGGTAAGACTTCAGAATCTTAAATCATTTTCCTTTAGCATTAAAGTACATTTTTGCTGGAGTAGGGTAGTGTTCTGATATCCAGTGTTATGGGAATTTATCATGCATACTGTAACTTTAATCACGTGAAACCACAGTGCTAATACTTGACTTTGGGGGAGGCTCCAGCAAACCTAATTTCTCTAATGTGTTTCTGTTCTGAAATTTTTACCTGATGTTGTACTACAGTGAATACAGCTGTCATTGTTTTTTTTTTTTTTTTTTTTTTTTTAGGTACGGGGAATTGAACTCAGGATGTTGTGCCAGGCAGGCACTTGTGCCATTGAGCCATATCTTCAGCCATTACTTTTGTTATTAATAGAAAGAAACAGTATCAATCAATCAATCAATCAAGTTTTTACCTAAATTAACAACTCAGTACTTAGTAGAGAATATATCAGTAAAGGGTATGGAAAGGCCAAAAGAAAAAGCAAAATTAGGTGAGGAAATCTGCAGTTGATTGTCAAGGGGAAGTCAAATGTCTCACTTCCCTGTGACAACTGGTGTTTTTGGTCATCCCAGTTGAAGCAGAACACCATCGTTGTGAGGGTCAGTTACACCCTTGCTTAACCCAGGGCTGAAAAGCTGAACCATCTCAAGGGATCAGGCCAGATATAGGTGTAAGACAGGACATTGGGCAGGGAACCGTGTTGATCCTGGCACCTATTCTGGCTCAATGTAGCCTATTTCCAGGTAGAAGTGACTACTATTTGGGAAAACATATTTTTCTTTTCAAAAGAGAGGTTATATGTTCTACTATTGTACTGATACTGATGAACTGTATCTGCAAGCCCCTTTCAACTGCAAAATGCCACTGTCTGATCTGAAGTACAACAGATATGACTCCTAAATTCATCGTGAGATGCTTCATGTGATTAGGTCTTGGATTGAGCTACAAGTTATGTAGCAAAATGAAGAGTTGACAAAAACTTAGTAAGTACTTCAAAGTTTAGAGGAATGTTTCCTTTTCTCCAGTGGCAGTAAAAAAGCTGAACTGTTGGGCTGGGGATTTAGCTCAGTGGCATAAGCATCTGCCTTGCAAGCAGGTGGTCGTGAGTTCGATCCCCAGTACTGATAAAAATGAAAAAGACAAAAAAAAATTATAAAAAAAAAAGCTGAACTGTCAACAACTTGTGGTGTGTGTGTGTGTGCGTGCACGTGCGGTGCATGTGCATGTGTGTAGTGGTGTGCTAATCACATACTCTGCCACTGAGCTACCCAGCTTCTTAGAGATCTTCACTTGCAATTTCCCCGGTGGTTGAAGGTATGCACACTGACTTAGGAATTTGGGTAATCTCATGATGGGTTTGGGATGTGTTGCTCCAAAGTACAGCACGTTGGCTTTCAGGTTTTTGCCAGAAGCAGGCAGCCCATGGTTCCCCTCCCTTTGCCTTCTCCTCTGAAGCACATCAGGAGACTAGCATTTTAAAGGTGCCTTCCTTGTATTTCAGGCAAAAGAGTTGAAGACAGAGAGATACCAGGGAGACTCTGGACAAACAAGACCTAGTGAATGGCTTCCAGTTTAGTATAGTTAGATTCAACTTTTTGTCCTCCAATTGTATTTTTCATGACTGTGGACTTTTCATTAAAATTAGCATAAACAACAAAACAGACTGGTCTGTTTCTTTGGGTTCTTGTTTTCTTTGCATCTTCTCAAGTCCTGTAAGTCATATCAAATAAATCTCCAAATTTTTCTCTTGCTAACCAGTTTTTTGGCATGGTGGGTTTAATCATGAACCCAGTCAGTAAGTCAGGTGCTTATGCCACTGAGCTAAATTCCCAGCCCCGGAAACCAGAGATGGCAGAGAAGACATCTTTCTGTCCCCTGCATCAAAGTGGTGCTGACTGCTGGCTGTCTGCTGCATCTCTCTGCAGTTCCCTTCGTGCATCCCTGCACCCAGTGCTCCTTGCAGTTGGCTGTGAATCTGTTCTCCTGGCTAGGATGGGATGATGCCATCCTGGGATCACAGCTGAAGGCCCAGGGCTTGTGACTGCCCTCTACAGGCTGCAGGTCATCTGAAAATACTTGCAGTCCGCCCTCACATTCGCTTTTTGATGGGTTTTTATATTGATGCGATCCACTTCTCGCTGAGTTTTTAGTTTCTTCTTATCATTTGTTTATACACTCTGTTTGTCTAGAATCAATTTCCTTTCTCTCTGCTTGGAGAATCTTAGCAAACTCTCTTTTAATTTGTAGCTCCCGTCTTCCTGCCTTCATGAAATTCTCCCAGATCCTGCGCCTGGAGGGACCTCGAGTTCCTGTGTGTTCCCAGTGTGCTTATTCTCTTTATGATTCGCCTGACTTTGAACATTTGCCATTTTCCTCTGACCCAAGGTAGGGAAGCAGACCAGCTCTGGCTGAGGCGGCAGCCGAGTCCTAGACTCCATGGCAGGGCACCTGTGCTCACCAGAACCTGTTTCCTTGTCTGTAAAATCGAAGTTGTCAACCAGCGAGTTGCTTTGACAACCGAAGAAATGCTCAAATACTTTACAAGCAATAAAATGCTGCATAAGGAAAGACGTTTTACCATTCACAAGCACATGTGTTTTACTGTTTTCTTCTGAAATACCTGGCACAGTGCCCTGATTTTAATATCAATCAAATAAATGAATACACCAATGAGGAATCTGAAGACAGACTGTTTTGCCAGTGATATGACTTTTGGCCTGGCATCTGAATTCAGTTCACTCTGGTAAAATGAGAGGTCTCGTCTAGAGTCTAGACCAGCGGATCTCCTTCTAGAAGTACTTTGGGAATGCCAGTGAGGTTTTTAAAGATGTCTATGCCTAAGCCCAACCACAAATCTACGCAGGGTCTCTGTACCTCAGGTTTGTGCATAAGTACTAAATGTTTTTTATTTTGTTTTGTTTTTTTGAGACCAGATCTAACTATGCAGGCTGGGCTGGGTGGCCTTAAACATCTTATTCTCTTGCCTCAACCTCCTGAGTGTTAAAGTTTTATACCTAGTTTTGAAACAATTAACAATTTATGGAATAGGTGGAAATATTTGTAGAGAACAAAATGTAAAAAAAAAAAAAAAAAAAAAAAAAAAAGCTTTTCTGATCCAATTAGAGTTGCCCAGCTAGTAAGCTATCATCATTCCTCGAGAGTATTTCCTGTAAATAAAGACATTCTCCATCATGTATACAACACACTGTCAAAATCATGTGATTTTTGTGGAAACACTTGAGATCTCATTCAAGTTTCACCCATTACCTCAGACTGTCTCCTCTAAGGTTCATTTGGTGGCTGAAGTAGAGTGATGTTTCCCAGACTTCTCCCTTTGCAAGGTATGCTTTGAAACTGTGTATCTTGTGCCTTTCTCGAATTTTGATTTAATGAATTTATTTTTATCTATATGTTTTCATCTTATTATAGTTGTAGCATTGTATTATATTTATACCACCATATTTTTAGAATTTCTATTTTATTTGATGAGCTGTCCCATTCATACTACTGTTTATTTTGGTCCTTTTCTGTCCCCAGTTTGAGAACCAGAACCCTGCCATCCTGGAGCCGTGTCCTCTTCACACGTGCCCCCCTTCCCTGAGCACCACTACTTTCCAGTGTCGCAGCACAGCCCACCCTCCTCCATGTGCTCCTTCCCGTGCTCTCCAAGGAGCCCCGGATCCCACCAAGAACAGTATCACAAGCCAAGCTCAGGGGCCAGAGCATCTATCTCCAGGGGAAATTGTGCTTCTGAGGTCCCCTAGATGGACAGAATTAGGGATGTGTGAACTTGTGCATATGTGCATTGCACTTCTATATCTATGTTTATTTCTAACTCTACCTATATATTCTGAATCCATGAGCTCCTACTAATTCTAACCCCAATCTGTGCTTTAATTTTTCCCTTTAAGTATCTGTGTCTCCTCATCCTCAGGAATATAGGACTTGGAAATAAGCAACAACAAAGAAAACCCTCTGGAAGTATTTTTCATTTTCAACACCTACCAAACCAAACCACATTAAACTAACCAAACTAAAAGAAAACAAAATCATTAACTTACTAACAAAGATATCTCTTTTGTAGCTGATTACATTAAAGGTCTTCAAACACACTCATGTATACACATTCACACCTAGACATCTTTTTAAAACTAAGGCATTTAAATATTTCTTTTTTACAGGATTTTAAGTTAGTATACTTAATATTGTTTCTATTTAATCGTTTTATTGCAACAGAAGTTTGGTCTTAATCCAATCATTTTTAAAATATCGTAGGAAAAACAAAGACCTCTCTGCATTTTAAAACCAGAAGCAGGGCACACAAATAGATTTGTCTCTTGTCAAGAGCAGTGAAGTGGAAGCCCCTCTACAAGATGGGAAAAGTTGTGCATTCAGCAGTCCGTGACGAGCACATGTTGAGCCAGACAGCGCGGTGCTGGAACATTGCTTGCCTGATGGACGTCCAGCGATGGCATCATTTTGTTAAAGCTTGTACCAGGCACAGCAGCCACTGCATGTAGAGAGCACGAGAACATGACAGTTACACTGAGATTTGCCTGCACTTCTTGTTTTCAGTAAATTCAGTAAGTTCCCAGCTTACCAAAGTTGCAAACTTTCACAAATGTATTGTAGAAGAATCATTTTGTCAACTTACAAAAGAATCCGGTTCACAAAGGATGCCCCTGGAGCGGAACTCGCTTACTTGTATCTCTATTCAGAGGTGTTACGTATTTCATTCCTAATATATTCGTGATTCTTACAGTATAATAAAGTGTCTGGAATGATGTAAATGTTGACATTTCTGTTGAAGTGAGTAGATGTTATCATTGGAATATTTGACTGCTGATAAAATTTAATTTGGCTGAAAAATTAAATTCTGTCTCCTAGAGTCCTTTGAAACTGTGATGACCATACAGATGTTCCTGGGTTGCCAATTTTAGTGCAGTCTTCTTGCCTAACACATTTTATCTTTAATAATTCTGTATCATTATTGGTATTCACTGTGGTTCATTTCAATCAGACCACTTCATCTTCTTTCTTAATATATGGTTGAATATTTAGAGTAAACATTATAATGTTTACTCTAAATATTTATAGTAGATACCATACTGTGTAAACAGTTACTGCTTTGGCTAATATATCTGGACTGATCACTCTATTGTATGTTAATTATTAACCCACTAGAGCATTCATCCAATCAGTCTATAAAATAATCAATATTTTGAGCCTTTGAGCTTTTTCATTCGGTGGAAATCAGCCATACTTTAACATTTCTTTGGTAGTTCTATCCAAAAAGTTCTCCTTTAAAGATTAGTGTCAAATACCTAGCACAAATATAATTTTACTTTTATATTTTAAATTAGATGATAATTAAATGATGGACCCCAAAACATCAACAAATTCCATTATTAAGTTAGTGTAACCCACAGGCAAGATACTGGCTCACTTGATTAAATACTCTTGTTTCTCTTGGAGGTGAGCAAGACTAGAATAGATGTTCAAAGATTGTCATATAAAATGATACAGGCTACTGATCAGCAATGTGTGAAGAGGACCAAATAAGGTGTAGTCAATACTTGGAAAACGTAGGAAACATTATTTTGCAAAGTAAAAGAATGAAAAAATTTTCCCTACGGAAAACTATGTACTAATAATAAAACTAGGATGTTATTCCTAAAGAGTATTTTTATATGATGAACTGTTTCTTGTAAATATTTACAATATATTTAAACAGCTTATTTTTCTATCAAGGCAGTAGAATGATTTAAACTGCACAAAATTATACTGTTTTGACAAAGTAAGTAGTGATACTACAGGGCAGAGAATTAATATAAGAGCCTTCCTGTATTTTAGACACTCCAAACCATGCATTTGAACTAAGCCTCTTCTGTGCAAATAACATACCATGCCTTGTGAGAATAAGGAACAAAATTAGACATTTCTATCAAATCTTTAAATATCCCAAGGCCGTTTTTTGAGGGAATTTTTCAACTGAGAAAAGAGAATGTGGAAAAAGTAACTCTATTTACAATAAAACCTCCTTTTTTGGTGTCCAACCAGTCACACACAGAACATCGCGTCGAGCACAGAGAATCTTCCCCTGGGTGTGCCTACAGCCGGCTCCGGAGTGCCATCCACAGACTCTAACAGATGCCCGACTGAGGGGCTCCAGGCCCGCACCTCCCTCTCGTCTCTTGTGTTAATGAGGACTCTTGTTGCAGTTTAAGGCACACTAGTGAGCAGCTCTAAATCAGAGCTTGTCCCGTGGAAGGAAAGTTTACAATGGTTACCAAGGCCAGTCGGTTAGAATTCCAGATGTGGGGCCTGTACCCTGCCTCTGACCAGCATCCATTTCTGCGCTCCACAGCTGGTCCATGTAAATGTGCCATATTGCCGCCCATCTGCTCAGAGAGTGCACAGTGGCACATCTCCCTCTGACAGTGGACCATTTTATAGAAGGCTATAAATATTGAAATTCATAGGCATGAAGCAGCAGATTTTTAATGTTACTTAGAGAGACATTTGAGCCACAACCTTTGGCAGAAGCAGACACTGTTAGTATCTCAGTACACTGTGCACCATTTGGTTCAGACTCATGAACAACTTTGCCAAGGATTTCATGGCTCTCCAATCCCAGGTAAAATGGAGTACAGACCCAGAGGGATGGTATTGAGTGTGAATGTCACCCTGCATACAATGTGCATTTGGGATATGGACTTTCCAGCCCTGTGCTGTGTTAAACCATATGTTAATGTTTTTATACTCAGAAAAGATTAGATGGGGGACCAATAAAGTTTCAAAACTACAAATAATAGTCTAACCACTGTGAAGCGTAAAGCATTCCTTCAGCTGATTTTTTCCCCAAAGTTTCTGTAATTTTCATTTTTGAAATGGTAGGGTTAAATTTTGTTGTAGGAAACCAGCTTATCCATATTTTATAAGCTAATACGTGCAAATTTTGTAGGCGAGAGTAAACATCCTCATTAATCTGAAACTACTGGCATGTGGGCTAGATGAGGAAAATTG